AAAAAAAAAAAAAAAAAAGAAGTTTCTCTATGTCTACATCTGTGTGCATACCTAATCCTAGTACTGAACTAGTCCTAATCCTGAACTAGTATCCATACCAATCAGTCTAATTCTGCCTCAGCCCCAGCTTGAGCAAAATGCTCCCTTCTAAACATTTAACTTAGAATCAAATCCTTCCCCCACAGGATGCTCATGAAGCTGGTATTTCTGCCACTTCACCATGTGCTGAAGCCCCACTAGCCTTTCTTCTGTTGGAAATGAATGAGTTTCATTTTCTTGGAAAGTTTTTAATGACATGGTAGCTTTTATGCACAGCAGTATTGATCACTCTCACTACCTACTCACCCCGCTTCTTCCCAACTTTATTAGAAGAAGGGTTGAATATCCAGAAGGAAGCAAAAGCTAGTGAGTCCCTCCTGTCCTCAGCTTCCAGGCCCCATTCCTGATTGGAAGCAAAGAAAGGAACTGAGCATCGCCCTCCAAGCTTCTTTGGAGACGTCATCAGCCGGCAGCACTGCCCTTCCCCAGGCCAAGGCTTCGAGAGAATGGGCTGCTGGTCAAAGGGCACGAGCCAGGGTTTGGTCACAAAATAGGCCGGACATTCAGTACTTGAAAACAAGGGAAAGGGGCAAGGAATGCCGACCCCAGAGTAAGACAAAGTAGGAACTGAACTTGGCCAGAAATGGTGAGTGGGCTCCAGTGGAGAGGAGCAAGTGGTGTGGACGCTGGTGCCGGGGGGAGCCCAGGAGTCAAAAGGGGAGGACACAGCCAGTGAAATGCTCAGGAAACATTGCCATGCAGAGAAACAGGGGGACAGACCTTCACTGCAGTAACCAGGGGCTCCCTGAAGCAGCCCTACTTCCCAGGAGGCCCTGTATGCAAAGCCTGTTGTGGACTGACCCCTCCCATCCTTTAAACTAGCCCCTCACCCCCCACACAGGATGAAACACCTTTGCCCTCCCAACGCCCTCCAGGTGAGATCACAGCCAGCTCTGAAGCATGTGTATTTCTTCTAACCCAAACCCATGTAAATTACTCTCAAACCCCATAGGACCTTCACATGGAGAGCTAAGTGGAATTCGTAGGAAAAATAAAGCTAAGTAACATATTGGAATAAATGTTAATAACAGAGGGACAACAGAAGGGCTGACCAGTTAGCTCACTTGGTTAGAGCATGGGGCTGATAACACCAAGATCAAGGGTTCGGATCTCCTTACTGGCCAGCCACCAAAAAATAAAAAAAATAAAAAACCACATTAATAACAGAAATATCAAGAATAATGTGTGTCCTTTATGAGTACTTTTTTTTTTTTTGTCCTTTTTGAGACCGGCCGCACCGCACTCAGCCAGTGAGCGCTGTGAGCGCACCAGTCATCCCTATATAGGATCCGAACCCCCGGTGGGAGCGCTGCTGCGCTCCCAGCGCCACACTCTCCCGAGTGCGCCACGGGCTCGGCCCTTTATGAGTACTTTTTAAGTGGACACAGTGGAACTTTTTAAAAGTTGAGTTTATTGTAGCTCAAGACAGTCACTGCTGTAGCCTTCAATATTTTTGGTAAATTGAGCAAGTATGAAATCTCCTTGGAAGAATTCAGCCTTCAGCCTGCACCATCTCCCTGAGTTAGATGTTTGCGTCCATGGCAGAGACAGGGCTTTGCAGGGAGGTCACACACTGGTCCACACACAGCACATGAGCAGGGGCCTCCCTAGATTGCTGGCCGTGTCCCCCTGCTGGCTCTGCCTGGGCCTCCTCCTCCCCACTTCATTTTTGGAGGTGGGTAAGTGCATTCCCCAGCCCAGGCACCAGCCCTCCCTGAACCCCAAGGAGCAAGCCAGGAGCAGGCTGTAGACACCCCACAGAGCACCCGCAGTGGCTCTGCCCTGTCGTCTCCTCCTCCCATCACTGCTTCTTGCTGCTTGAGGGCTCACGCATCATCCGTCACTCCTCAGACCTGGGTCCCCTCCCCACTGCCTCTGCCCATGTCCCACCGGAAGTAGGTAAACTACCACAGGGACCAGTCCTCTCTCACCATTCTTGGCATCCACATTAAAACATTCATGGGAGCTCTCTGCGAGGGCTTGCCATCTGCCTCAGGAGAAAGTCACTGTGGCTTGTTTCCTTCCTCTCCTTCTCCACATGCACCTGGAAGCCAGCTGTGAGGGGCTGGAGCCTGAGGCTTCCTGCTTCAGGGACCTCACCTTGCTGCAGCTGGTCTTGATCCCTGCTCCACTCACAAATCCACCCAGCATTTGCCCTTTGAACTTGTGCTCCGCATTGGTGCTTTGGCCCTGATGACTGGCCACTAGATTGCACTCCCCTCATCTGACCTGGGTACCCTGGGTTCTTCCCACCCCTGACTCCTGTGCCCCCCATCATTGGCCACTCAGCTGGGTCCCCGCTGTGACCACATGCATAAGATTCTGATGACCAGGAGCTTTTTGAGGACAAAAACATGGCATCCTCACCTCTGTGTCTTCATACCAGGTCTGGCACACAGGAGGGACTTATAGGTGCTGACGGACTTGAATGGAACTGGACTGGATTAAATAACAATGTCTTGCAGTGTTCCGCCAACTGTGGAAAAGGGACACGGAAACGCACTGTGACATGCACTAACTCACAAGGAAAATGCGACGCGTCCATGAGGCCGAAAGCTGAGGAGGCATGCGAGGACTACTCCGGCTGCTACGACTGGAAGACTGGGGACTGGTCCAAGGTGAGCTCGGCATGCTGGCCTTTTCATCCCGCACAGCAGGCAGGGGCTCGCGGGTCAGGAGCTCAGCTCTCATGATAGGCCCCTGTTCTCCCAGGTGGTCTCCATCTACCAGGTAAACTCACTTTCTGTCCACACGCTGCACCTGCTGGTGACCCTGCTTGCTTTTCCCTGCCTCTCCTGCAGGCCACACCAGCACCACCCTGGGGGCTCGCTGGCAGCTTCCACTGCTTCTGGTGCACTCGGAAGGGAACCAAGTGCAGCCCAAAGCACAATGCCAGTGTGGCCATCCCATGTGGCGTGCTGGCTGTACCCCAGTGTCCTGCATGGGCTTGGCCTCCGGCCATCTGACACAGAGGCTCATAAATGTGTGGGAGCCTAGGCCCAGGCAGACACAGGGGCACTCGGGGCAAATGTCACTTCCATCCATTCCAGGACCCTGGGCAAGGGTCTGCAGGATGCAGAGGCACATAGGGTGGGGATCGTTAGGGCAAGAGAAAGGAGAGATGTCACAGCTGCAGAGCCAGCACCCTCAGGGGGCAAGAGGATTAAACAGCAATTAAATTTTTTCCAAGTAAAAAAATTCTTTGCTGTCTAACCCTCCTTTTACTCATTCACCTTATATCTTTGAGTTATTCCTATCTACAGGGCATGGAGGTGAGCACCACTGCCAAGTATAAGAACCATCCAGAAGGTTTTCTGTTGAGCCTTTTCACAAACACTGTACAACGTCTAATGAAAGCCCAGAGTGTGTTTATGTTTCCTTACAGTACTAGTGACGAAAAAACTGCCCGTTTGCTTCTCGTGATACCTCTTCACTCAGAGGTTGCAAGCTGGTGACCTGAGAGTCACTGGTTTCTGTTTACCCTGCATAATATCTTAAACATTTTGGAATTTCTTGCTAACATTTAAAAATGGGAAAATTTCACCTGAAAATTTCAATTTTGGTTTTGCTATAAAAATCTGATAACATGATCCAGGCAGGTAATTTGATTTCTGCCTCTACTCTATGGAAGGAAGAGTGGTTTGTCCATTGAAAAGCAAAATTTATCAGAATCTGATCCCTGTAGATATGCCGCCACCACCTCCCCCAAATCAGATCACAAACCCCTCCAAACCTTCGAGTGCAAAAACACCAAATTTCTCAGTTGCTGGTTTGCCTGGCTGTGATAAAATGCAGCCTCTGGATAACAGTGATTTTGGGAAGATCAAAAACACCTCCTTCTTGATGAAAAAATCTGATCAAAGCTATCGAACCAAGGCCAACAGTCCAGTTTCTCCAAAAAATAGTCATGAATGTCACACAGTAACATGGATGTTAATAAATATGGAGCTGCCAGGATGAATCTTACAATGGAAGAGAAATGACTTCAAGGTTCTCACAAAAGAAACATGCACTCTGGGCAGTGGGAGCCTGGAATCGTGTGATAGAGATGTGAAGGAATTTATAGCTTTGACTCTCCCCTTATGTGTCTTAACCTCTCTGGCCCCTGGTCTCTTTATCTCTAAAGTGGCAATCACGGATGCTGGCTGTGCCTGCTTCTCCGAGACGCTCATAGGTTTCAAGGTGCTAATACATGTGACTAAGCACTTCGACAACTAAATCCATTTCACTGCCTAAAATCCGCCACCCAGTGTTCACACCGTTGTGGGGACTAACCCATTCTGATCTGCTTTAACTTTCTCTTCTCAGTAGGGCTTCTTAGCCTTTTATAGAATGATGCAGAGAAATGTTGCTTCATATCCAAGCACATCCAAATGCAGCTGAAGAAAAGTCATATCCATAGCTCAGGGAAATGGAGGCAAGCTAAAAACATAGTTCAGGTTTTGATCAATCAGCAAAACATTTGAAACTTTCAATGTCAGAGTCATCTAAAGAGTTGATGATTATGTTATGCCTAAATGATTGCAGAGAGTCCAGAAGATGTGGAGGGGAAACTGCCCAATACAGTAACAGGCAGAATAACATGGTTTGGATGCCAAAGGTCAGGTGTAAATTGGAATTAGCTGTCATTACAGACGGAGAATTAGAAGGGTCCTAGCTGTCCCCCAAATGCGGCCTGTGCTGTTGTTGACTCCTGTGGCATGGGTGAGCCAGGGCAGGAGGCAGAGGCGGGGAGTAGTCAGTTCTGGGCCTGGGCCGCCTGTGCCCATTGGGGTTGGGGGGAACCTGGCACTTGTTTCCTCTCTACGGTGCACCTGTGCCTCACATCACCCTCCTCTCTAGCCAGGCTTGTCGCTCCTGCTGTAAGTAGAGGAAATAGAGGCTCGAGGTGGTTAATCGACTTGCCCACACTCCTATGGCAGACTCCAAGCTCAGACTCCAAGTTCAGTGCTCAGCCACTCTGGTGGAAACAGAGCAGGAGGGGCTTCAGGAGTTGTCTCTGAGCCGCGGGGTACCCTCCCTACGGTCGCTGGCCAGCCAGCACTTGGGTTACCCCAGCCGAGCCATTCTGATTTTGAGGACTAGGTAGATGCTTTTGTTTTCTTAAGTGCTTTGAGCTGCCTGGCACAAGGAGTGGCCGAACGCCACAGGGTGAACAGGAGCAGTTCATGAGAAGCTCAGCAGTCCTGCCAAGATCTGGTAGGTCGCTCGGCCCAGTTCGCAGGCCCCTCCCCAGCCACAGACACAGGCACACTATCGGGCAAGTTCACAGGCATACACGGCCCACCAGGAATGCCTTCCGGGTGCGACAGAGCCTTTTGTCTGGCCTTCCTGTTTACCAGCCATGCTGCACTTCCAGATGGGCCGAGCACGGGGAGGCCACGGTGCCCATGTTGCCACAGCCAGTTTGGTCAGTTGTCCCTGGTGGTGAGAACAAGAAGGACCAGTGGCACATGAAGGCCTCCCCACAGTGTAGCAATAGTCAAGGGCTGGCATCCGAAGGCATCGCATTGGCATGCAGTGGGCCATGCAGAGCACTCAGCACAGGCAGGAGCCAGCCGCCCCCACCCCTGCTGGCACAGGTCTGGCCAGAGCGGCTACTCAGCCTCAGCACCTGGCCAGGACCAGGGCAGGGTTTGTTGTACCAAGCAGAGGAGCACCGCAAGGACGCTAAGCTAGAAGTCTCTGTGTGTGAGCCTGGTGTACTGGGAGCAAGTCGGCCACCCCAACTGCCCACCTCCCCCACCTCCCTCTGCTGCCGTCACTGGTGTGGGGTGGGGGACTGGGCATACACCCCCATACAGCTGTAGAAATGTGCCATTACTTCCCTTCCTGTCTTCTCTGGAGAAGTGAGAAGAGCACAGTTCCCCATGGGGTCCGTGTCCTCGCTCCCCAGGTGACAAGGCCAGTGTAAGTGGATTCCACAGATGGGCTTTCCCCTTACGCCCTCTCTTGTTCAGGCTGTTTGGATTTGCTTTATGGTCGACATGTCATCCTTACTGTCCAGCTTGCAGACGGTGCCATTGCTGCACATGTGGGATCTACTGCATCTTTAAACCACACACCCTGGCTTACTTCCTGTTACCAGCCTCCAATCTCCACGTGTCAGGCTTTGAAGGCAGCAGACAAGTTGCCCAAGAGGAAAGCAGATGGAAGGCTGAACACCATCAGTGTCATGGTATCTGTGGAAGTTTTTTAAAGTCCTCATTGCCAGGAGGAAATTGTTGCATCAGCAGGTGCAGAAAGTGTGCTGGACTGGGCAGGTACCTGGTAAACTATGTCATGATTGCAGGGGCTCAGAAGATTGCGCTCCATCCGATGGAGGCTTTGACATCTTCCATCCACACAGTGTCTCCTCATTTTGCCCCAAGGGGCTGTTGAGAAAGATGAGCCTGCTTCCAGGGAGGTGGTGGACAGGACAGTTCACATTCCTGCCACAGGAACTGTCCTTAGCTGGCACCCACCTGGCTGGGGGAGAGTGCCTGGGAATGGCTGAGCTCCTCGGCACTCAGAGCCTTGGAGAAGCAGGGAAGGCTTGGAGGGAGCCTGGAGCCCCTTCCCCATCCTGACCTCAGCAAATGGCCGAATCCTAACCAGGGCCACATGGGAAGGGCACACTCCACATCCCCATCCCTGCCAAGGGCTTTACCATGGCTCCAGTATGTTTGAAAAATGACCTGCAGCTGCCTTCCCTCCTGGGATATTAGCTCTTTCCAGGAAACAATGCAAATCATTATTTTCACCAGTCAGTGCTGGATCTATGGATTTAACCCCAGGGGTGGGGACACTTAAAATGGGAGAGGAGGAAATCTCATTTCTCTCTAAAATAGCATGACTTCCGATCAAAAATTGAAATGTTTCAGATTTAAGACCAGAGGCATTAATCACCACTGAAATGATGGAATGTTCCCCATGAGAAATTATTCTGGAGGGATTATCTTGGATGGTGTTTTTAAAGAAGAAAAAACCATTGGCTGTCCACGTTAATAGTGTGGCGTTCCCTTATACCAAAGAGAGAAAGTAGCCATTGAACTCCGGGTGCCATTGGAGGCCTGAGAAAGGGGCTGGTCTGACTTGCAAGGCCTCAGGCCAGCTCCAGGTGAGCACTCTGCACCTGAGCCCAGCTTCTGTTTGTAACATGGAGATGGGAGCACCTCAGAAGATCCAATGATGCCATATGCATGAGCCACGAGCCCTGGGAGGAAATCAGAGAGAAGCGTCTCTGGTCAAGTTCACAGAAACATTCTCCATCTGTGTGCTCCCCAGACACCTGGCTGTGTTCTGGGCGGGGAGGTGAGGGCCTGAGTTCCATGCCCATAACAATGAACAGACCTTGTGATATACAAGGGGCAGTTACAGAAAGTAACAGCCCCAACACCACTTTTGAAGGCCGTGCTTGCTTTGGTGGGGCCCAACTGCCCCACCCTGCAAGGCAGGCCTGCCCAACTGGGCCCTACTTGCTGTGGAGGTTATGGAAGTGGACAATGAATGACCCGGCCTAGATGCAGTAGGCCATGCTAAGTCTCACTGGGTGGGTGTGAGGTCAGCACTGGGGGGCCACAGCTCGGTGTGGGTGCTGATGGAGGGTGATGCTACTTTTATCGAGATCGAGACGCTG